TGTTCCTCTCCAGATAGGGATGCCGAGCTATTCCTAGGAAGTCTGAGATCTTACCAAGAGATCAAAAGGCACAATTTCCTCCAGGTTGGCCATTCTGCTGTTAAAACTGTCAAATCCCATGAAAAGGAACTTGGTCCTAAGAAGTCCTAAGAACCTACATGTGAAGAATAGAATAGACAGAATATCCAAGCTCAAAGGAATCTCAGAATATAGACTCTTAGAGCTGGGAGTGGAGTGGGGGTGGGGTGTAATTGGAACCCTTAGCATATAGAATGTCAGAGCAGAGAGGAGCCTTAGAACACAGAATATCAGTGATGGGAGGGAAATGAGCATGTACAGTGTCAGAGATGAAAGGGCATGAACTTAGGATACAGAATGTCAGAGCTGGGAGGGACCTCAGGACAAATGATATCAAAGCTGGGAAGAAACTTAAAACGTACACTATCCAAGCTGGCCTTATTGACCCTCATTTTACAGGTAAGAAAACAGAATAATGGAAGGAAGGAGATATATCCAAGGCCACACACCTAGTTAGACCTCAGACCAAAGGCTCCTAATTAATCCAGTATTCCTTCTACCATGTCCTTTCTCTCCCTTATCCTAAACATGCCTTAAATTACCTGGTTGCTTGATGCGAGTGATTGCACCTGGCTCCTGGAAACATTATTTCTCACATACCCTACCCCAAACTTTGTTCTAGCTTACTTTCCAGATGGAATAGAAAGAACGCTGGTTTGGGGACCTCAGTTCAAAATGGCTTTGCCACTTTTTTGACTTTCTGCAAATCACTTTCCCTCTCTGGGCCTCAGTTTTCTCATCTGTAAAATGAGGGGATTAGCCAACATGAGTCTTAAAGTCTCTCCCAACTACAATCTAAAATTATAATCCCACGCATGACAAATCGGTACTAGAAGATAGGGTCATAATTTTAGGTATCTCTGTGCCAAAGACCACATAGCAGCCCCATTCCTGTCCTACCAAACCATCCAGCTCCCAGGTCTTGCCTTCAACCTGAAAAGGAGAGGGCTGATTGGTGCTTAAGGAAGAAAAAGGCGGGGGGTAGCAGCAGCCAGAAAGATGACACTGTAAGAATGTCTCTAGCTTTGCTTCAGTGACCCCCACCTTCAAGGGGTCATGACAAAAAGCATTAACCCAGAGCATGACATAGTGAAGAGAACATTGTGTACTTGCTCAGCCTGGTAAGTCCTCTGGCATTCCCATCACCTAGGCTCGATAAACGGGGTCCAGGGTAGTCATACCTTAGACCAAATTCTTCCAGATAAACATTTGCCAAGATTTCTCAGGAAGGTACAACCCACCCCACCCCATTTTTTCTTCATCCCTTCCCATCCAGCCTGGAAGACACATCCACAGCTGAGTGCCCTGTATCTTCTTAACCCAGGCTGAGATCTCGAGGGGGAAGAAATTAGGCTTTTGAAATTTCTTAGATTTTTCCGGGTGAGAAAAAGCCATCAAGAGCTGGGTTTGCTTCTTTGGAGCAAGTTTGTAATCTGCATTGCTTCTACTCCAATGTTTGACCCCCTTTCCTACCTCCCCTAGCCTCTGGCTCCTGGGAAAGGTACACAGTCAGTCCTGGAGGCTGCCAAACCTACCAGGCTGTTTCTCAGGGCCTTTCAAGTGCAGCCAAAGCCAGCAGATGCCTTTCTATCGTAGCCTATTAAATTAGCCCCTCTGCAGTCAAAAGGAGATAATTATGTTTTCATTAGCCCTGGATAATGTATTACCCCCCTCAGTGGCAGCAACCATAGCAAACTGGAGGGCAGCTGTGTCAGTGACTGGCCAGCAGCTCAGGGAGACTTTGACCTCAGCCTTCACTGGGCCGTGATAACTGTCCTGGAGAGTTTATGGTTGGAAGAGGGTCAGGAACCATCAGGGGAGAGGAGAGGAGGGATGATCTCTCCCCTGCCCCCTCACTTCTCACACATTTCCCTTCCCCATTGTCTTTACCATACACAAGTAGAGTCACTCCTAAAGGGGGCAGGCCCCAGAGCAAACCATAATCTGCAGACACTCCCATCCTCAATGTGTTTATCCATCCTGGTTAAGGGAAACATTGAATGAGAAGAGGTCACAGAGGTATAGAATGGAGTTGGAGGGAAGCAGAGAAAAGTTGATCCTACCTAACAAGAACAATAACTAGAATTTATGTAGCGCTTTAAGGTTGGCAAAGTGCTTTGCAAATGTCTCATTTGATCCTTACAACAATTAAGGGAGTTCAGAGCTATTATTATCCCCATTTTTCCACATGAAGAGACTGAGGCTACATGACTTTCCCAGAATCACAAAGTTATAAGTAGCTGATGCAAGATTTGACCTGGGACTTCCTGCTTCCATGTTTAGTCCTCGATATATGACACCATCTAGCTTCCTACCTTCTTCTGATGGCCAGAGTGGTAGGTGAGATGCTGGTACCATTTAGCCTCATTTTTTTAGCGCAAGTTAGGGATGCCTCTTTGGGTACAGCAGTATTAACTAGGGATACCTCCTTAGATCAATGTCCAGCAGTATAACATCCTCCTTGCCAAAGAGAAAAATGAAGGGCCTAGGGTGATGGCCATATTCTGCATATGGCTAGGTATGCTGGAGTATATTCACATAAACACCCTTTCTATGTGTCAGAGATAAACTCTCTGCCCTCGAAAGACAACTGCAGTCTAATATAGATAGAGTGGGCTATAGACCATTCATCCAACCTTCACATATACTTGCCCCTTATTATAAAATCAGAAGATAATATAGTTACAGCTAGAAAAGACCTTCGAGGTCATCCAGTCCATAACCTTCATTTTACAGAAGAGGAAACTGAGACCCAGAGAGGTTAAGCCATTGCCCAAGATCACCCGTTACTAAGAGGCATAATCAGAATTGAATCCAGGCCCTCAGACTCTAAATCCAGTACTCTTTCTTCCTAAGCTCTGACACATTTGGAGATTTCCATATTCCTGGGGCATTGACTGCATGCTCAGTAATGGCTCTGCTACCTTGTTTGTTTTAAACCCACGAAGGGGAAATTGCTGGGCTTAAAGTAGTCTTTCTTCATTTCCTTTTTCCCCTGATCCATCGTGTGTGGGAACATCCCCAAAGCTCCAGAGTCAATGGCACACTTACCCCATACCCAGAGAAGTTTGTGGCTACCCTGCCCCCAGCCTTCATCGGCCCCATCAGAACAGCGGGTATGCCAGGAGGAGGGCTCCCTATTGGCTTGGGCCCAGACCCCCAAGTGGTCCCAGGATCTGTTTTGATCAGGTGAACTGCCAACCCTGTGGAAGAGCTGTTTCCTTGTACTGTTTCCTTTTTATTTTTCCCAGTTGCCATGGTAATTGGGGGAGTAATTTACCAAGGCTGACGATGGTGACACAGCTGAAGCCTGGCTCTCAACTTCCAAACAGCTCAGGCAGCCAGGTGAAGATGAGCCAGAGACGAAGGGGATTGGGGCAGGAGAGAGAATAGCTTAAGGATCCGGCACATCTTTTTTCTTCCTAGGGCTCCCCACACAACCTGGGGGCGGGGGGTGGGAGATGACTTTAGGCCCTGGCTCCAGCCATCCCTGACTCAGAAATGCATTTTTTACAGCACACACACATACCTGCTTATTTTTCAGTCTTTCCACTCATTAGAAAGTAGATCTCAAACATTCCAGTGCCTGTCCCCTGAGTCACTTCTCATTTCTCCTGGGCTGATATGCAAAATGATTTGAAAAGAGTATATTAATGACAAAGTGTTGTGTTGAGTTGTGGGTTTTGTTTGGAATCTCTGGAAGGTTTTTTTTTTGTTGTGGTTGTGTGTGTGAGTGTGTGTGTGTGTGTGTGTGTGTGTGTGTGCTTGTGTGAGCATTTGAGTGGGCTTGCTTTTCAACAGGAGGCACAAGGCTGGAAAGGGGGAAAGACCAAGTTAGAGTCGAACCAGAAAACTCAGGTGCTTTGTATATATGATTGGGTTGGAGAAGAAAAAAAAACCCTCCAGTTAATGCATTATCTTCACACACATACACACATACACACACACACACACACACACACACCCCAAAAACTATAACCCTGCTTCTCCAAGAGTGTATGAAGAAAGTGATACACAGACTCATTACAATCTGCCAAGAGAAAAAAAAGACAGCTTTCAAACAGGGTTTATTCAGTCACCCATATGTCAGGGCACTTGTGAAAATGAAGGAAGCCTGATTCTTAGCTATTTCCCTCCTTCTCTTCTCTCCATCCTCTCTCCTTCCTCCCTGGATGATGCCAAGGAGGAAGGGTCCAGGTCAGACCACTGTGTTAGCATCCTTCCTCACCTCTCTCCTTGGGGAGAAGGGGGTTGAGATGAAAGCCATCCCTATGGGCTGAAAGAGGCAAATATGTTCCAAAAAGGACTAATAACACTGGCATGTTGAAAGTGTTGATTGTGGAACTGCAAGATTGTGTGGCTGTGGATTTAGGGCATAGCAAGAATCCAACCAAAATCCCCACAGCCTCCCAAGTTGTCCTTAAGTGATTCCAGCCTGGATAGTGGGGCACTGGTTCTTAATATTCCATCAAGGAATGTACCAGCTTTGTACATTTAGGGAGAAGTGGGGATGGTGGTCACCAACAATTCAAATTTCCAGAGGACTCCCTCCCCCACTCCTTGATTTCTGCCCTTCCTTGATCAGAAATGTAATTTGAGTTTGAGGGCTTCATCTATTTTTTAATATATTGTTAAGCAACAGAAAAGGAATGTCAACAAGTCCCGGACAGTGAGGTGGGGGTATAGCTGGGGCAGGGAGGCTGGCCAGAAGGAGCACTTTGGAGGAGAGGAGTGAAGGGTGGAGAAAAAAATTCTTTAAAAATGAGCTATCATTTCTTAAGAGTTCCCTAACTGGAAAAGAATTGAGGGTAGGTATGTGTGTGTGTGTGTGTGTGTGTTTCCTGATAGGGGGAAAAATGGAAATTAGGTTATATAAAAGATGTATGCCTTTGAGTCCAGAGAGCTTCTCTTAATGAGGGTGGCTTCGTCTCCCCCCACACACCCATAAAATTGGCTGGTTGGACGTCAACGTTAATTCGTTTCAGTGATGATATTAAAAAGTAAATTCCCCCTCACGACCCTAGCTGAGCTCATCACTGGGTCCCTGTCCCTACATATTTAAACTGCATTTTCATCTCATGGCTAGAAGACACTTAGTGCTCTGACGGTGGAGAGAGCCAGCACAGGAGGGAAGAGGAAAGCAGAAGCCGGTGAGAGAAGGGACCACCCTTGCTCCTTGTGGGAGACTGGGGAGAACACAGCATTCTAAACTCCGGCTTCTAGGGAGGAGTGAGATGAGGGGAGGGGATGGGATTGGGTGGGGTGGGGGTGGGGGAAAGAGAGATGGGGGTGGGGAGTGATCTTGGAAAGCACAAATCAGATGAAAGGGGGGGAAACTGTGGCTCTCACCCATAGGTAAGGCAGTTTCCTTCCAACCTTGCAGCGTGCGTGGCTGAGAGTGGATGCCACCAGGTTCCAGGTCTGGCATCCTTGAAGTGAACCTGAGACAGAGTAGAGGAGGAAGAGGAGGAGAAAGGACTGAAAGCAAGCAGACTGGCCGGCACGCAAGCTAGCTCAGGAGGCTTGGCTGGCACTCGATCTCCTGAAGCAGGTGAGTTGCCAGCTTGGACACTATCAAGCTTAACACCCTCCCCCCAATCCCTCCCACCCCCTCGTTGCAACTGGCTTGAAGCCTCCTGGCAAACCCGGGAGGAGAGGAGAGGAGAAGAACCGGAAAATTAGAGAAGGGGGAGAATAACACCCAACTTTGTGTCTCCCCCCTTCTAGTCCACCCCTTCCTCTGGACTCCCTAGCATGATGCCCAGGCTGGGAAAGGACTAGAAGGGTGGTCCAGTGGGGGAAGAGTGCAAGATTTGAACTGAGGAGAGCAGGGCACCAGAGCTTTTTTGCTGCCAACTTTGTGAGGATCCCCTCTCCCAATAGCCCAGGCTCAGATCTGAGTGCTGGCTGGGGGAGGGGTGAGAGAGGGGCTCTTTGGTGATGCTCTTCCTCTCCTCCCCCCTCACCCCGCCACAACACACATACACATACACATACACACACACACACACACACACACACACACACACACACATACCAGCCGCCTTGGATTTCCCTCCTCAGGGAATTGGGGCTACGGGTGGTAACAGATGAGATGAAGGGACTAGATACGCGTGCATTGATTTACCTGGTAAAAGTTGTTCCCTTTCTCAGGAAGGGAGAGGTTTCCTCAGGAAGGGAGAGGTTTCCCCAGGATAAGAGCAGGGCTCCCAGACTCGCAGGTTGTTTGCACTCCTCTCCCCGGGCGGACGGGGAGTTTCAGGTTCCTAGCTCACATCTGGGAAGCCGCTGGCCCCCTCTGCTGCCTCAACCTCTAGCAGAAACCTCTGCACCCCCGCCACTGTTGCCCGGGCGGAGTCGGCCCGGCTAAGCCAGGGTTTAGGGGAAGGGAAATGACCCAGGCATGATGGATTCCCTTCCTGGGAACAGGGGAGGCGGAGCAGGGAGCCCCTGGGGAGAGCTAAACTTTCGGACTGACCCTAGGTGAGCCTTGGGGATGGGTCTGGGGTGGGAGCGAGAGGAAGGGGCACACGCGCTCAGAACTAGACCTGTAGGGAAATGTCAGCGACCCCGGGGTTTATATTGGGGTCTTCTCCCTAATGAGGCAGTAGTTCAGGGGTCCTCTTCATCTCCACCCTCAGAGGACAAAAACAGGAGCAGAGTTGGGCTGCCCTCGAATGGTACAAAGTCAGGGAAACAGAGATTAGGGAGGTGGGGCATTCCCCCTTCAGTGCGTATCTTGAAGGATTAGGCTTCTTGGAGCAGGAAGAGGTACCGCTGTTGTGGCATCTGATTCCCCAAATCTAGTAACCTCAAGGTTGGGGGAGGGAGACATACAGGGAGTTAAGGAAGGGAAGCTGGCTGCGACCTCTATTCTTACCGCAGTTGACTGTCAGTTCGACTACTGTCACCTACAAGGGTGAGTGGCTATGTTTACAGTTCAGGAATGGCTGTAGCCCAAGCCTCTCAATTTGGGGTTCCTGCAGTTGCTTGACTTCTCTCCCTCAGCTTAGGAAAAGGTGGCCAGGGGCCATGGCTCGGGTGCAAGTTTAGGTATTCCCAAGGGGAGCAGAATAGGTTAGGAGTGAAGCAGTCATTCAAAACTCATCTCTATCCCTCCTGGGTTGTGTCTGTGAAGGAGAGCTGAGGGTCAGGGAGAAGTGTAAAAGAGGAGTTGGTACTGCCACTGAGGGTCAAAAGCTAAGAAAAAGTCAGGAAAAACCCCAAAACCCAACAGGCAGGGTGGTAGAATTGAAGGGTCCACAGAAGGCTAAGTGGAAGAAAGTACAGATGCAATTAGTTAAATAGTACTGGCTACAGAAAGAGACTTGGGTATGTATGGCCTCCTTCTTCACCTGCGGCACACTTATCTCCAGTTCTAGGCTGTCTGTCTCAAAGTGTTGGCTTCCAAAACAAGAGCAACCCAAGTGTTGCAGCAGTCTGTGATGAAAAAATCAGCCTTAATTAAAAAAAAAAAAGCCAGGACTTAGCCCCCCCCCCCAAAAAAAGAAACTCCAGAGGCACAAGAAAAACTTTATGTGCCCTACTGTTGAAAGTTGTTGAGTAAACACCCCCATCTTTGTCCTATTAGTTCAAGTTGCTTAGGATCATAGATTTGGAGCCATAAGGCACCTTGGAGATCATTTAATGAAACCTTCTCTTTTTACAGATAAGGAAATTGAGGCCCAGTGAGTGAAAGTGACTTGCCCAAAGGTAGGAGAGCTAGGATTTGAACCTGTACTCTGACTGAATCCTGTGCTCTTTCCACTTTTCTTGATGGGGGCTATCACAAGAAGTGAGAATCTGTAATTCTTATGGTTAAAATAGCCCTAGAGAGGCAGTGTGGTATGGTGGGATAAGAGTAGGCCTTGAGGTCAGAAGAGCAAGGTTTAAATACAGCTTCTGATTCCTTCTGGCTGTGTGAAGCTGGGCAAGTCGCTTAATCTTTCAGTACCCTGGGGCAGCTCTCTAAGACTTTGAGTTACAATTGAGTTCCCCGAAGTGGAAGGAGTCCACAAATAGAGCATAAAATTACAGGACCAGAAAACTTTCCCCCAATAAATAAGTTAGCCCCTACCTGCAGATTAGTCCCTCTCTCTGGACATTCATACACACACACACACACACACACACATACACACACACACTATTTTCACCCCCTCCTCAAAAGGAGGAAGAAGGCTTATGGAGGCTTATCAGGATCCAGGAACTCAAAGGGATTGTGGAGTGATGGAATCAAAGATGGGATAGGAAGCTGGAAGCAGGAACACAGGGAGAGGGCAGGAGTGTGGGTGCCTAAGTGTCTGTACACTCCGGGTATAAGTTGGCTCCCAAAGTCACAGCAGGAAAATGAATGTCTACTGCATTCACTCCTACTGGGGTGGGTACATGTTACCACTGGGTTGATGGGCATTACTTTTCATCAGGGGCCACCTCCTGCCCATCCCTTAGGTCAGATTAGCCTTTCATGGGTGGGGTCGCTCATTGAGAGGGTCTTGGAGAGGGAAAGGACATGGTAATCACATTCTTGACTCCATTTCCTGGGTTGGAAACAGCATGCCCTACTCCTAACTCACAATTTCCCCCAATGGCCCCCCTAGGATTTTCCCTGCCTTTGAGGTCACCAAAACCCCAGGAGCCTGCTTTGAGTGGGTCAGAATCTTTTTTCTTGAATCCAGGCACCCATTTCCCCTCTTCTTTTCCCTCCCCCACCCCCAATAGGTCCACGAACTTGTGCAAGTGGTATATACACATGCACAACCCCTGGTCCCAAGGATAAATAGTGCCCTACTATAAGATTCTCTGAAATCAGCAAGTTCCCCCCCTTTTGCTCCAGGGATAGAACTGGAAGCTCTTCTCTGTGCAGGGAGGAGCCAGAACAGAGACCTGAGCAGAAGAGGCGGGAAAGGGAGAAGGGAAGGAAACCATCCCTGTTGTCTGGAGACAGTTTAGGGCTGTTAGTTGCCAGGGAACGTGGAAGCTATTCTCTAGGAGTCCAGGACAAGTCAATCTTTTGCTTTCTTTCCCTCCTTCAAATGGCCAAATTCTAAAGTCTCCAGATTTTGTGCCTTCTTGGATTAGAAAAGGGTTCACGAGTGCTTCGTACATTTGCTTGCACTTTGCTATCCTTATCTCGCATTTCCTGGCCAGTGCCCGCCTCCCAGGACCCCAGGGAAAAGGGTGTGAGTTGTTTAGTCTGGGCTGGAGTAGGAGCTGAGCTGAGCTGAGTAATTCGTCCACACGGCTCTGCCGAGGCTACAGTGGACCCCAGCGCAAGGGAGCTGTCCGTGGTTCTGGATGGTCACTCTCTCTGTCCCTTGGTCGGTAAGGAAATCAGAGGTGAGGGCTGGGGTGCGCCTAAATGGTCAAGAATGTGTGTATACTGGGTATACATATACGTGCAAGAGAATCCATTTGTTTGTACTGCTTAATTGTGAATGTTTCTGTGTGTGTGTGTGTGTGTGTGTGTGATGGCAAATCTCGGTGTCTGTGTGAGTTTGTTTTAAGGAATGCTTGAGGTTCTGTGAGTTTGTGTTTTTTGTGAGTTTGTTTTAGGGAACATTTGAGGTTCTGTGAGTTTGTGCATTGTTTTAGACCCTTTTGTCTGTATGTGTTTTGAACTGTGTGACTCTGTGTGTGTTTTGAGGAGAACATTTACTAGATCCGTATTCCTTAGAAGTAAACCATCCCACATCTGAACTTGGCAATTTGAAGTGTGGTTTTGAAAGATTAAAAGCTGGAAAATGGTGATGCTGGCTTTTCCAATTCATTGCTAAGATTAATTTTGCATGGAAGGATGAGAGGGATTTCTTACCTAACCAGAAAAAAATCTAGAGTATTCCAGAGGAAGGCAACCAGGCTGGTGAGGGAACTGGATACCATACATACTACATTAGAATCATTTGAAAGAATCGGAATTGTCTAATCTAAAGAAGAGAAGCCTGGGGGGGGAGAAAAGAGAGCAGGAATGACATGAGAAATAGCTCTCTTCAAGTATTTGAAAGCTGTCAAAGGAAGAGGGAGTAGATTTGCTTTGCTGTCCTGAGAGGGCAAAACAAGAATCAGTGAGTTAAAGCTACATAAAGGCAGATTTCAGCTCAATGTAAAGATAGATATTCTAATAATTAGAGCTTGGCCCCAAAATGTAATGAATAGCCTTGTGAAGTAGTGGGTTCATCTTCACAGGAAGTCTTCCAACATGGGCTAGATGACCATATTGAGTATGGTGAAGAGGGGATTTTTGTTCAGGTGTGAGTTGGACTTCATGGCCTTTGAAGTTTCTTCCAGTTCTGAGATTCTGTGATTCAGATAATTATTGGTTTGTGTGATTAGCCATAACCCAGAGAGGACATAACATCTTTACAAAGGAACAGTATGGTTTGTCCTGTCTACAACTAACAATAATAGCATATTTGAGTTAGAAGAGACCTTTGCGATCATCTAATTCAACCTCATTTTATGGATGAGCAAAATGAAGTGGAGACACAGAATGACTTGTTCATTCTTGATGAGTATAAGAGTCAGAACTAAAGCCCAGGTCTCCTGATCTCC